TGGTGACTATGGTTTACGATCCTCAAATGAACTCTGTACCAAGGAGGACAACAGAGAAGATCAGATCAGCGCTGTGTTTGACTCAGTATTTGCTACTGATAGGGTACCGAGGTAGTGGTCCAATCGCAACGGCAAAGACGAAACGAGCTATGAACTTCAACCTCATACTGGGCCTGCGGTCATTTTTGATGAGCGCCCCTTGCACCCTAAATTGGGAGTGCCTCCGCACGTTGCTACCAGGGTATTGTAGCAGATACCTGAGCGCAGCCGATGCACCAGCAAACGCCATCAGTATGGCAAGGACTGCTGCAGAGTGAAGTTTTGATGGAAACCTTATGGTCCGGCCGACCATGAGCGGGAAGCACGCCTGATCACCTGGGGAAAACCCATTCTTGGATGGCAAAAGCAGAGTCTTCCCTAATCGGTCACCGGTGAAAATGAGTCATGAGTCCACTTGTTGAGCTCCACTCCACTGTTTGGGAACCACTTCAATGTTATGAAGACAAGCATTGCTGAAGTCAGCGCGGAATAGCCCTCTAGGCTGGCTTCGGGGTTGCGAGGGAATCGTCAGAAACGTCTCAGATTCTCCTTTCTCCGAATGTACGCCAGACCTCACATTGCAATGCCAACTCACCACGTTCTGAGGGAGATAGCCAGGGCCACGATACCTCATCCACCATATAGCATTGGCATCGCTCTGTCGGACTATCGCCTCCCTGCGCCCTGAATAAGCATCTGCCAGAGAAGAAAGTTAAAGATTGCGACCACCCCAAAAACGACTTCTCCAAATTCTTCAACCCCCAGCTTCCTTCATTCTGGGCTGGAAGCTTCCAAACGCTCACTAGCAAATGCACGCATATCAGTGACCATGATGGTGGTTATGTTATTGATCAGTTGTTTCCTAGAAGAGATAAAACTTGGATAAACAAAAGTGTCGAAATTGCAACAGGAATTATGAGACAACCCAATAATTCTAGTCCTAGTAGATATGAGAGTAAAAGAAACGCAGACTCAGACTTCCATATGATTCCTTTTTAAATACACAGCCCCCCCCCTAAGGCTAGGTTCACTTGAATCTTCTGCTTTGTGTTTCTGTCAAGATTGCATCTTCAGTGACATGTCAGAGGAATCGGAATGAAAAAGTTCAATTAGGACTTACAAGAATTCGGAGCCAGTAACCGCGGTATCTCACGAGAAACTGGAAGCACTGCCACATTATGGAATCCTATCACCCGACTACAATAATCAAAATATCATGTTAGCTTACTGAGTGGCAGAGGCATCGAATTCATATGCTGCACAAACTTTAGCGAGGGTGTCTAAGACCTAAACAAAGAATGCCAATTAAAGTGTCGAAAAGCTCTGTGCTTGAGGGCAGTGATCACTACATGTAGAGGGCGTAGCGGTTTTGGTGATATCATTGAATCAGATCAGAACCGTCGGCGTTCGGTACCCGAGCAATATGGTTGGGATAGCAACTAACGCTCTTCACAGTGACGTTCAATGACGTCTTCAAGACCGCGTCGCCCTCCGACCATCCTGTTCACTGCCTTCCAGTCATCACCCCACCCTGTGTGAGGATTGATACCGATAGCCCTTGATACCGATAGCCCTGGATTCTTTTTGTCTAGGAGTTCACTGAAGAACGCATCCATCGGTTGAGGTGATTTGCTTTAAAGTACGGGTTGTAAACAAACCTATGGTTTTGACAAGAGGGATTTTGTATTCAGCGAACTTCTCATCGTCTGACCTCCAGTGCATAACTGGGCGTCCTCGTTAACACTTATGATTAGTACAAGAAGCAATTCATATTCGTACGCTTTGGATTTTAACGAGATTTTGTTACCGTTCAATTGAGTGCCCCCAAGAGCGTGATCGAGAGAAATTTGAGTCTTCCTATATGACCAGATTAGCTTCAAGCAAAGACTTATGAGGCACCTTCTTCTGTATACTGTAGGCATCTCGACAAAGTCGAACAATTGGAAAATCCCATTCATTATATTGGGAGCAGCTACTGCTTCAAACAGTCTACCGCCTTGCCCTGCGCTCCAGAGCCGATGTTTGAAACCATCGAAAGGAGAGGGAAATCGACAAAGTTGAGACAGCAGTTGTTGTGGTCAATTCTATAAAGTGTATTGTTACAGGCCAAATGCCCAAGTGAACCTTTAATGCTTTTGAGACATAATGTTTTCACAAAATCTCTAAAAAAATCTAATTTGTTGTTTTTTTAGGTCTACATACTCGTAGTACACACATTTACATTGCTTTCCTTAGTCATCGCCGGTAAAAATTTCGAAAGAAATCATACGTGCGCATGAGAAATATCGGTTACAAATGGGTTGAGCACACATCTATTGTATTTTACCGTTTACCGTATTTGCTAACGCTAAACGCAGGTACGTGATTGCCCTAATCGGCTCAGTCATTATGAGCTCTCTGAACCCTTCGTTCAGCTTGGGGAACCTAAGCCAAGCAGGCTTTAATTATGCTCGACTCAACCATTCCAGAGAAGTAGAAGTCTCCACCTAGCGTTCTCCTGAAGTCAGTTCGATGAATTGGGAAGAACGAAGGATCCATGCAAGGAACATCTTTCGATGACCATGCTTTCAGAACCACCTTACTTCTTCAGCGGATCTGGAGATTCAAAGGCGGAGTTTATGATGAAAAGGCAACCCACTAGAATCAAGGTAGGAGTACTCAACGGTGCACGGATGAAGAAAAATCAAGAAACCGGCCTAAAACCAAGAAATGGCCCCCTTTCTAGCATTAGCACAGTCCTGGGATTTATTGAGACTGGAGGCCAATGATGGCGGATTTGTGCACATATAGAAACATTATAACTCTTACTCCTGAAACAAATCATCACAAGTCAAACGACTCAAGCTGTGCAACTTAAAGGACGAATTCACGATTAGAATGAAAGTCGAGGAGTAATTCACCTAGTTGAGGGACCCGCGGACCTCCTGAGGGTGCGGAAGCGCAATTGGCACCGAAGGAGTTGACCTCGGCGACCTATTAAGGCTCAATCTTGGCGCGGTGGGCCAGTGCACGCCCACCGATCATCTGATCACTCGCCGCAGGTCTATACGTGGCGAGTGATTAGATAGGTGAGAGAGCGTAGTGTTGAAGAGGGCACAGCGATGAGAGTCGCATCAATGCTCAAATCAACGGGCAAGGAAGGGGTCCCATTTCTCGGGTTCTGGGCCGTTTCTCATGGTTCTTCCTTCTTTCGTGTACCACTCACCATCCCTTAATTTGAAATGGGTTGCTTTCCATCGTGAATTCGTCCTTTAACAAGGCAAATTGAACCGCGCGTAATTGGTCAATGTACTCAGTGTATTGAGCTCAAAAAAGGAAAGTTTCAAGTCTCACACAGTCTTAACACATGTGATTAAGGAACATTATAGAGTTCCTTAATCACATGTATTAAAGATGGGGCCTTTTATCAGCGGAACCAGTCGGGGGCAAGGCGGTTCCACGACGATGTTGGAGATCCCAGCCTCCATGATGCTGATGGTTCGGATAATGCGGAAGTGAAATTGGAGGACTTCTATGACGGCGCAACTTCTGAAACAGTAGAAAACGACGAAACTCGTTAGAGCAGAAGGATCCGTCGAGACCCGCAGCTCTTCTACAGAGCGTGGCAATAGTTCCCAAGCAAGGGCAACCGGACATTGGCTTTGTTCCACGAACGCGATATGGAACTGTGCATTTGTAATTGTTATTTAAAATGCAAATTTACATTTCAAAAATACTCACTCGGGATGTGCTGGCGTGGTGACAAAAGGAGCACTAGCATATTTCTATACACGACCAGCTATTGCAAGG